TGTGTGTGTGTGTGTGTGTGTGTGTGTGTGTGTGTGTGTGTGTGTGTGTGTGTGTGTGTGTGTGTGTGTGTGTGTGAAAGTTTTTTATCAATATAAGTAACCACAGTATACGATAGAGAACGATATTACGGTTCAGGGTATAGGGTTTTACGGTTCACGGGTCAAACATTACTAGATCCTCAGACATTTTCGTATACGTAAGTATCTCTCAATACATATTCACATCCTGTCCAATCCAGATCTAAAAATAGAACCAATGTGCTCAAACGAATGTCGCTCTCGAAGCTGACAGGGCGTCGCAGCAGTGAGAGTGCTCTCTCACCCAGTCTTGGAGGATCACAGCACTTCCGAACCAAGATAGTACTGGGCAACCTCAGGTATCACGTAACTTAGTTGTAGAGGTGTAGGTGTATACCCATAGTTGTATATACGTAGCTGTATAGGTGTCGTTTCAAAAACGTAGTTGCATAAACGTAGATGTAGAGGTGTAGTTGTATAAACGTAATTGTGTAGGTGTAGTTGTATAAACGTAGTTGTATAGGTGTCGTTTTATATACGTAGTTGTATAAACGTAGTTGTATAGGTGTCGTTTTATATACGTAGTTGTATAAACGTAGTTGTAGAGGTATAGTTGTATAAACGTAGTTGTGTAGGTGTAGTTGTATAAACGTGGTTGTGTAGGTGTAGTTGTATAAACGTGGTTGTGTAGGTGTCGTTTTATAAACGTAGTTGTAGAGGTGTAGTTGTATTAACGTAGCTGTGTAGGTGTAGTTGTATAAACGTGGTTGTATAGGTGTCGTTTTATAAACGTAGTTGTATAAACGTAGTTGTATAAACGTAGTTGTAGAGGTGTAGTTGTATAAACGTAGTTGTATAAACGTAGTTGTATAAACGTAGTTGCATAGACGTAGTTGTAGAGGTGTAGTTGTATTAACGTAGTTGTGTAGGTGTAGTTGTAGTTGTATATACTCCCTACCAACGAGAACGGGAATTGAATATAGTCCGAAATGAGATAGTACCTGGTAACCTCAGGTAATATGTAATGTAGTTGTAGAGGTGTAGGTGTAGTCGTACATTTTTATTACCGAAACGATCATTTCCACATACTTGTTTGTTATAATATTCACCTGCTTGTTCATCATCTTGTAGTCGTATATTCTTACTACCAAAACGGTAATTTTTTCACACTTGTTTGTTATAACATTCATCTGCGTGTTCATCATAGCGTTCACCTTGTTGTATGTTATATCAGGGTGGTACATCGCAACAAACTAGAACTCATCCGTACGCACTGTCAACAGTCTGCGGTCGATCTGCGCTGCCGCATCAACGCCGCTGCTGATGTACTACAGGAGGTACTCACACAGAGTATGTTCTATTTTTAGTACTACATGCCATATATGTCGTACTACACTCCTGCGTGTACTCACACAGAGTATGTGATAGAGCATGCTCTATATTTAGTACAACATGCCTTATATATATATATATATATATATATACGACTACACACACACACACAC